GGAGTCCTAGCTTCAGCTTTCCAGAGAGAAGGCCTGATATTATCTATACCAATATACAAAACTTCAGAATTCCATGGAAGTTCTCTCCAAAATTAATTATCTCAAAATGGATAAACTTGGCTTAACTTGTAATTTTCCCAAGCAGAAATTCTTGCATCTTATGAAATATCTGTTCTCCATTAACGGGCTCTAAAAAGGATGAGGCACATTATGGTTATTGTTTTAGCTAGCTTTAGATGGCTTTATTTATGTCACAGGCACAGATGCTTTTTGTTAATCAGCAGCAAGGTTTAATTCCATTAGAACTTTCACACCCACTTATCACATGAGGCGAAGACAAAGTAGCCATCTGTGAAAATCTCAAAACTTTGTGAAACACAGTATTAGTAGTTTATCCATTTACAGTGGTCTTTTTTTTCCCCTTTTTTTTCTTTTTTCTTTTTTAATTCCAATTCCCTTGCCTATTTCATTTAGACCTACATTTCAGTATATTAGTTGAGCTATATTTTTACCGTTCAAGGAATCACATACTTTTTACATACCATTTGTTATGAATAAAGTTCTGCACTCTGAAGTTGAGTCATCTGTTTTCTAGCATAATATCATAATATATAATATTATATCATATATATATATCATAATATATATCATAAATCTCATAATTTCATGAAACAGTTGGACATTTTTGCTTTATTTTTATCATTTCAGTACTTCAGTACCAGTTCAGAATTATCAACATGAAATTCATTAGTACTTCTTCCCTTTTGAGAAGTGATGATAATACTAGCTTATAATTTGGTTATGCAATAGTGTTAAGCATGTCTCGATCAAACTAGGAAAGTGATTGAAATAAGAAAAAAATTATTAAACAGATAAAAAGTTTGATGAAAAATATGTAAAATGCATATGGCTATAACATAAAATCACATCTTACTCTATCCAAATCACAAATAAATAAATAATATAGCAAAACTAATGTGTAACATTTAGTGTGTAACATTTAAGAAATCCAGTGATATGTTTCTCTCTAAGAACTTACAGAAGATCATGCAAGTCTTAGCTTGTACATGAAAATATTCCACTGATACTAAATCACTTAAAACCCTGTATACTAGGAAGCACTATTTCTAAAAATTATACTAGGAAACAGTGTCAGGATCCCTAGAACTAGTCCCAGATGTCACAGCCACAGTCTTTCAAAGCAGAGAAGAAAAATTCTTCAAAGCTGAGCTGCTACTTCATTTTCTTTATCAGTAATTCTAAAGTTAGCACCTCACATTTTCCACCATCTACCATTGGTATCTCTGAGTCTGTGGATGTCGAATCATTTTGGGATGGGATGCTTCTGAGAACATATCCTAGCGATCCTATGCTCACTCTTTTCTTAATAAAGGCAGTCAGACGAACTTCAAGGGAAGATTCTTTGCTTCCAACATATACAGAGCAGACATCCTCCTTAGTACCAAACTGAAATGATTTTTAGATTTTTTTACACTGTCTTCTCCCATTGATGTCATATTTACAAGCAAGTGGTGTTTAGATACATGTTTTTATTATTCCTTCATTCTACCTCCTTTGGAAGGAGACAGCTAAATTTGATTTTTGCTGTTGCTGTGAACCAAGAATTACAAGGCTGAAGCTGGTACTAAGCATCTGAAAAGATGCGACAATATGATGCATGGAAGCACTCAGAATGAATCTGGCCACTGAAATGCAAAAGTATGACTTGTCATGCTGCATTACTATAAATGAGGCATGATTGTTTGATTATACCTTGTCTTTAGAGGGTCTTTCAGAGCAGAGAAATTAATTTAGATAAATACTAGGTAATAATATATTTATATATCAAAGGAATATGCAAAACTGTTGAGTTCTGGCTAAGGAGCTGGCGATAGTTCTGCAAATCTCACAGTTGAATGCTACTGCACAAAATGATTTTTGTAGTGGGATGTATAAATTGGTGAACCATGCAGCAGAGAAAGGAATGCAATCTTAGTAACATTTAATCCTGAAGCACACTTGGTAATCATCATTTTAAAATTTGGCAAAGGCAAAAATGAGTAGCAAAAGCAATAGAAAAAAATGAAATGCATATTCTAGGAGGCATTATTATCCCTTTATTATCTGTAAGAAAAAGGTGACAAAGCCAAAATATTACTAATTGGCATATAATAAATATTTGTGAATGAGTTAGTTAAGGAATATTTTAATTATTACAGATCATTGAGAGAATCAGTAAAAAACCATCTACAAAGTACAAAAACATATATGTTAGGAATCCCAATTGATTCCCTGAGCACTCCCAATTAGAGTGGGTATAATTTTCCAAAGAAGGCATAACACAGGGGGCCTGACTACAGAGAAATATACTCTTTAAAAAGAGGGTGTAAGAGGAAGCTAATCATTAAGCCTACAAATGACAAAATAGTTTCCAAGAGCAATATTTAGGTTGGTGTTTGCTCAGCCACCTATTGCTGAGTTAACAGTCTAAAGTATACATCAAGAATATAAGTTTCATAGCAGCTAGCTTATATTTTGGTATAATTTTAACTTGGCTATTGGCTAGCTAGCTTAGAGGTCCTGAGTGAATCATGCCTCATTAAGGTCTTTTTTTCTTAAATCTTTTTTCCCATCTACATCTAAATGTAACTATTGAAATTAAGTACCTAGTCTAAACTAATCACCTAACATCCTTTATAATCGATGGATAAGAGATAGGCTCTTTAGAGAGGTCTCCTATGAAAAAAATCTAAATATGAATAGATGGTACCTCCTTCCAATTTCTCTCCAATAGGTCATTATTTAATAAAGCAGTTAATTTAGCTGGGCTGAAATTCCAAGCAGAAGTCACCTCCTTCTCTTCAGTAGCTATATGTGGGTATAAGGCAGTTAAGTAGGTCTGGTTACCAATCTTAAGTACAATTGCTTCACAGCTGTATTTTAATTAAGCCTCAGTGGGTAAAGTTGTTACTTTGGCCTGAGAAGGGGATGTTTTTTTTTTTTTCCTTATCTTGCATATGTTGTTTATTTGACCTAGGACAAATCATTCAGGGCATGACATTCTATGACATATCATAAGTAAAGATCAAGCCTTCTGTAATTTTACAGTTTACAGTTTCAAAAGTGAGAGGTGGTGAACCTCCCTGCAGTCTTCCAGGGGAACAGCTCCAGAGGGAAGACTGGCGCTCTGAAAGGAGCTAAGTCGATGGCCAGAAGCCGCCAAGTGAAATGCAGGCACCAGAGCACGGAGGCCGAGGCACCCCCAGCCCCGAGCGAGCGGCGCTGGGGCAGCAGGGGTGGCGCCAGCAGGGAAGGGACCCAACCCCTGCGCCTGCAAGAGCAGCCCCCAGAGCGACCAGGAACGCAGGGAACAGAGTGGGCGGTTCATTAGGCTGTGGCGATCGCTGGGGCGCAGCGCGACAAGTAGGGCAGCAGTTAACACAGGTAGCGTGCAGTAGTGCGCCCCTGGGAGAACCGCGCTATAGCAAATACTCGGTTGGAGGACCATGTCAGCACTTGCCAAAAAAGAGGCGGGGACCCAGACTGACATCTAAGAAAAGCAAAAGCATGCAGCTGTCCAGGTGTCAGGATGCACGGAGTGCCAAAGTGTGCCTTTGGACAACTGCAGGGATAGCAATTGTGTGAGATGTGAGCAGGTGAAAGGTCTGCTCAGCAGAGCTATGAGAGGAGGTGGAAAAGCTGAGGAGCATCTGGAAATCAGAGATGGAGATAGACTGGTGGTGTCCGGTTGTGGCCTCAGAAAAATATGAGCAGGCAGCAGGAAATATCCAACAAGAAGAAAGGAATATCAAATCCATACCCCAGGCAACACAGGGCAGAAGATACCAGGATGAGGATGAATGGAAAAAAAAAAGTCCAGGCTTGAGGTGGCAGGAGAAATCCTTCTTCTCCCATCTCACCCTACCAGGTCCTGCTATGCACCTGGAGGATGAAGGGCAATCAATGGATAGTGAAGGCGAGAGTTGAGTCCCTCTCCTCCAAAAATATTGCTGTGATCAGGCAGGCCAACCTCCCATATTGTAACCACCTGCAGGAGGAAAGAATTCCAAAACAGAGGGTCCAATATGTAGAAGGGACTCTCCTTAGATGGAAATCTGCTGCATTCCTGGGACCTAGGTTAAGGATATCACCAGGAAATTTCCCAGCCTGGTTCAACCCACAGAGTATTACCCATTGCTAGTCCTACACGTGGGAAGAGAGGAAGTAGCAACACGAACTCTGAAGGCAATCAAAAGGGCCTTTAGGGAATTGGTTGGATGATCAGTAACTTGGGCATGCAGGTCATCTTCTCTTCCATTCTCCCCAGTGCTAACAGCAATATGGAAAGAAACAGGAGGATACAGCCCAATAACATATGGCTCTGTGGCTGGTGTCGTCGCCAAAGCTTCAGGTTTTCAGCAACAGGAAGCCTTACATGGCACTAGGAATACTGGCATCAGATTGGATGCATCTTTCCCAAAGGGGGAAGAGGGTCCATTGGTCATGAGCTAGTGGGGCACACTGATAAGGCTTTAAAATAGATTTGACAGGAAAGGGGGATATCATCAGGGGTATGGTGATAAGGTATGGAGGGTAACTTACCATGGTATTCATGCCAGCTTAACACCAGAGCCAGCAAAGGATACCCAAAGTCTGGAGAGGGAGCACAGCAAAATGCGGAATAGGAGAACTGCTGAAGACCCACATAGTTGAGTTACAGCTGCCTTACCTAGAAAGAGGGGCACACTGGGAGCCTACCTCAAATGCTTCTGTGTAAACACACATAGCATGGGGAATAAACAAGGGGAACTGGAGATGTGTGTACAGTTGCAGGGTCACGATCTCATTGCAATTACTGAGACATGTGACAGCTCTCATGACTGGAACGTGTGCTTTTTAGGAAGGATAGGCCAGGAAGGCGAGGTGGTGGAATTGCTACTTATGTGAGAGAGCAACTGGAATGTATGGAGCTCAGCATAGCGGGGGATGAAGTGCAAGCTGAGAGCCTGTGGGTCAAGATTAAAGGGCAGGCCAACAGGCGTGACACTGTGGTAGGTGTTTACTACAGGCCACTTGACCAGGGAGAGGAAGGTGATGGAGAATTCTACAGGAAGCTACAAATAGCTTCACAATCGCAGGCCCTTATAGAAGTTCTTATGGGAGACTTCAACCACTCTGATGTCTGTTGGAATGACCACACAGCTAGGAACAATGATCCAGGAGGTTCCTGCAGAACACTGCAGATAACTTCTTGATGCAGGTGGTAGATGACCAATGAGGAGAGGGGGTGCTACTGGACATGATACAAACAAACAGAAATTATGTAATTGGAAATGTGAAGATTGGGGTAGGTCTCGGCTGCAGCAACCACGAGATGTTGGAGTTCAAAATCTTGGGAGAAGGAAGCTGGACAAGAAGTAGGATTGCAACCCTGGACTTCAAGAGAGCTAACTTTCACTTCTTTGGGGAGCTCCTTGGAGGAATTGCCTGGGCCACGGCCCTGGAAGGAAAGGGGCCCAGGACAGTTGGCTAATATTCAAGCACAACTTTCTCCAAATGCAGGAACGGTAGTTTCCTGCACGAAAGAAGTTGAGTGAGGCTGGCAGGAGACCTACGTAGATGACAAGGAGCTGTTGGAAAAACTTAAAGACAAAAAGAGAGTGTACATAATGTGGAAGAAGGGCTAGACCACATGGGAAGAATATAGGAACATTGTCAGAGAATGCAGTGGTGGGGTAAAGAAGGCCAAGGCTCATTTGGAATCAGAGTTAGTGAGAGAACAGGAAGGGCTTCTACATAGAATCATAGAATGCTTAAGGTTGGAAGGGACATCTAGAGGTCATCTAGTCCAACCCCCCTGCACACGCAGGGTCACCTAGAGCACGTGGCACAGGACTGCATCCAAGCGGGTTTTGAAGATCTCCAGAGAAGGAGACTCCACAACCTCTCTGGGCAGCCTGTTCCAGTGCTCTGTCACCCTCACTGTTAAGAAATTTTTCCTTAAGTTCCTATGGAATTTTGGATGTTTCAGTTTCCGGCCATTTCCTCTAGTCCTACCAGTGGCCACCACTGAAAAGAGACCATCACCGTCCCCTGCATTCCCTCCCTTGAGGTATTTATATACACTGATTAGATCCCCTCTCAGCCTTCTCTTCCCTAGGCTGAACAGGCCCAGCTCCCTCAGCCTCTCCTCACAGGGCAGATGTTCCAGGCCCCTGATCACCCTTGTAGCTCTGCACTGGACTCTCTCCAGCAGCTCCACATCCGTCTTGTACTGTGGGGCCCAGAACTGGACACAATACTCCAGATGCGGCCTCACCAGGGCTGAGTAGAGGGGCAGGATCAGCTCCCTCAACCTGCTGGAGACGCCCTTCTTGATGCACCCTAGGATCCCAAATACATCTACAAATACATCAGCATCAAGAGGAAGACTAGGGAAAACATTGGTTCACTGCTGAATGGGAAGGGTGCCTCCACAGAGGACAAAGGATGCAGAAAAGGCAGAATTACTAAATACATTCTTTGCTTCTGTCTTTACTGCTAAGGTAGTCCCTGAACTACAGAGCTTGGAGGCAAGAGAGAGAATCTGGAGAGAAGAAGGAAGGAAAGTCTGGAGGAAGACTTTCCGCTGGTTGGGAAGGATTGGGTTAGAGATTATTTAGGCAAACTGGACACACATAATTCTATGGGCCCAGATGGGAGGCATCTAAAACTGTCCATCATGTGTGAGAGGTCATGGACAGCAGGAGAGGTGCAGGAGAATGGAAGAAAGCCAACGTCACTGTAATTTTCAAAAAGGGCAAGAGGCAGCACCTGGGAAAAAAACAAGCCAGTGTGCCTTACCTCCATCCCTGTAAAGGTGATGGAGCAGCTCATCCTAGAGACCATCTCTAGGCATATCAAGGCGAAGAAGGTGATCAGGAGTAGTCAGCATGGATTCACCAAGGAGAAGTCATGTTTCACCAATCTGACAGCTTTCTACAATGGGATGACTGGCTAGCTGGCTGATGGGAGAGTCATGGATGTTGTCTAGGTTGACTTCAGAAAGGCTTTCAACATTGTCTCCCATAACATCCTCATGGGGAAGCTCGGGAACTGTAGGTTAGATGACCGGACAGTGAGGTGGATTGAGAACTGTCTGGATGGCAGAGCTCAGACGGTTGTGATTAATGCGGCTGAGTCTATTTGGAGGCCTGTGGCCAGTGGTGTCCCCCAGGAGTCAGTACTGGGCCCAGTGCCATTCAATTTACACATTGGTGATATGGATGAGAGCACAGAGTGCACTCTCAGCCAGTTCACCAAACTGGGTGGAGTAGTCAACACCCCAGATGACTGTGCTGCCATTCAGAGAGACCTAGACTGGTTGGAGAGTTGGGCAGAGAGGAGCCTCATGAGGTTCAGAAAAGGCAAATGCAGCATGATGCACCTGGGGAGACACAATCCCAGACACCAGTATAGATTAGGGATTGACCTGTTGGAAAGCAGCTCCACAGAGAGTGATTTGGGAGTCCTGGTTGATAAGAAGTTAACCATGAGTCAGCAATGTGCCCTTGTGGCCAAGAAGGCCAATGGGATCCCGGCCTGCATCAGTAAGAGTGTTGCCAGCAGGTGGAGGGAGGTCACCTCCCCCTCTGCTCAACTCTGGGGAGACCATAGCTGGAGTACTGTGTGCAATTCTGGGCTCCCCAGCACAAGAAGAACATTGAGCTTCTAGAGGGGGTCCAGCCTACGCTGGAAGCCATGAAGATGTTTAAGGGACTGGAGCATCTATCGTATGAGGAAAGAATAAGTGAGCTAAGCCTGTTTAGCCTGGAGAACACTGAGGGGGGATCTGATCAATGTGTATAAATACCTGAGAGGAGAATGTAAAGTATATGGGACCAAACTCTTTTCGGTGGTGGCCACTAACAGAACAAGGGGTAACGGGTACAAGATGAAACACAGAAAGTTCCATCTCCATGTGAGGAAGAACCCCTTTACTATGAGGATGACAGGGCCCTGGAACAGGC